TGGCACAGAAGGGAGAAATTATCAACTTCTTTTCTTGGCTGTCTTTTTATTTCCAGGGAGTTCTTTAAACATGAGCAATATTCCAGTATGCAATCCTCTCTGCCTGTAGTCTGGCATGGTCCTGTTCATTCTGCCACCTCATCATTTTACCACCTCCTTCCCACCACGTTCTCTTGCTTGTGTTAGACTTCAGCTGCTGGCAAAGGCTGGATTAAACAGGAAGTAAGTTTTCAAATAGAAAGTAGACTTGGATCCACTGCCAGTGGAGCGTCACCTAAAGCCCTGGTGTCCCTGGCTGTTACTGCAGCTCTCAGATGAGAGAAACCTTTCTGCCTTGGTTCCAAATCCACTTTCCTTCTTTCCCGTCTATGTCTTGGAGACTGTTCCCATGGGGGGACTGTGCACATGTCAGTGTTAGAAGGATGAGAGCATCCTGAGTTCGATCATACACCAGATCAGTGCTCCTTGCTATCATTCCTACAGTTGTGGAGCTCAGGTCTCCTGTTCACTTGCTGCAACAAGCGTGAGAACCTCTAGGAGTCTTGTAAAAACCACTTGGCTGGTGAGATTCAGCTCCTGGCCAGTTCAGCCCAGCTGGAGCTAAGCAGAACTGAGTCTGGTCAGTGCCTAGAGGCAAGGCCTCATGGGAACTCTCTACACACATCTTGAGTGGAAGATGGAGTAATCTTTAGAGTTTTGTGCACAACGTTGTATAATGGTGTACTACAGTGTTAAATTATTAGGGCTGGGCATTATGATCAGTTAAAAAAGAGGTTAACTGACTGGTCAGTTTTTTGACCAATAATAGCCAGATATTTTAAAGCCATTAACTTCTGTAGAACAACATAACTGTCTTTATCAAATGACTAATCTCCCATTTTGAGATTTATGCTGATTGTGTGTGTGTCTTTAAGGGCCATCAAGTCACTTTTGACTTAAGGTGATCCTGTGAATTAATAGCCTCCAAAACATCCTGTCATTATTGGCCTTGCTCAGGTTTTACGTACTGAGAGCCACAACTTCCTTTACAGAAGCAAATCTATTCACTGAAATTGCGAGACGGTAAAGTTGCATTTCTAAAGAAGTTGTGGAGGGCAGGGTAAAAATCAAATCAATAAATAAATGGGCAGTTTACCCAGTAACACTAACAGGGATTGCATTAGGTAGTTGCCTTGGAGAAACGTAGCTGTGTATTGCTAGACTTGCCCCTGACTGCTGCAGGGCCTGTGGCGTTCAGTTTTGTCTTCACCTACAAAGGATACCATAATGGTTTGGTTTTTAAAAAAGAGAGAGAGAAGCTGCCACCGTAAAAAAAATAAAGAGTACCTGTACCTAGAGTCACTGGGCATTTGACAATATGGGGCCAGTCAGTTGACAACATTTGACCAGTTAATTAACTAGCATGCCTATCTTATAAGTGATACTGAGTCATTAGATTCTGAAGGTGTACAGAGCAAATCTTTCAGCAAATCAGGTTTCTTCTCTTTTGCACAAGTGAACATTTTTCAAGGGTAGTTAAACATGAGGCTTGGAGGGGAAAATCAAATGAGGCGTTCCTTACACCTTGCCTGCTTACAGCCACACAAATGCCATGCTCCCTCTGCCATTATTTCCACAGAGAGCAGGATCTCTGTGCCTAACCAGGGCCTGTGCAAAAGCAGCATCCCTTCTGTGCAGACATGAACAAGCCTGCTGTAACTTACTTCTCTCCCCCCCCCCCCCGCACACCCC